TATATATATATATATATATATATATATATATATATTAGTGGACACAAAAAATTATTTTAAAGAATGTATTGTATTTATTAATAATATAAATAATATATATTTTTTTAATATTTAATGTAGATGCATACAATCTGTTAACAAGAAGTTGTTACGGTATTACCCCCCTCAAGTGGGAGCATGGAGATTGATAATGCCCAACTTGCCTAAGAAGGATTCAAACTGCGATTTTCTCAAAGCTTTTGTGAAGATATCTGCTAGTTGATCGGTAGTAGAGACATAGGTTGGAAGAATATTGTGGCGAAATACTTCATCACGAACAAAATGACAATCTACTTCTATGTGTTTGGTACGTTCATGAAACACCGGATTTTTAGCAATGTGCAAGGCCGCTTGACTATCACAATGAATGATCATAGGTTTGGTATGAGTGATGCCAAGGTTGGAAAGAATCCCTTTTAACCATTTGAGTTCGCAGGTAGTAGTTGCCATGGACCGATACTCAGCTTCAGCTGACGATCGAGAAACAGTTTGTTGTTTCTTTGTTTTCCAAGAGATAGGGGATTGACCAAGCTGGACCAGCCAACCGGTAACGGAGCGACGTGTAAGAGGGCAGCTAGCCCAGTCGGAGTCGCACCAGCCATGAAGTTGTAGATCACAGTTGCGAGAGAGCAATATGCCTTGACCGGGATTGCCTTTGAGAAACCGAACCACTCGGAGAGCAGCTTCCCAATGCTCAATTCGTGGCTCTTGCATGAACTGAGATAGCGTGTGAACGCTGAACGAAAGCTCCGGGCGTGTAAAACACAGATAAATCAATCGCCCAACCAACCTGCGGTAGCGTTCTGGATTGGCAAGAAGAGCTCCGGTAGCAAGAGACAAATGATGATTTTGCTCTAATGGGGTGCCTGCAGGTTTAGCTCCAAGTAGGCCAGCTTCAGAAATAATATCGAGCGTGTACTTACGTTGACAAAGAAAAATGCCCGTAGGATTGCGAGCAACCTCAATACCTAGAAAGTACTTCAATTTTCCAAGATCTTTCATGTGGAAGCATTCATTGAGGTAAGCTTTAAATCGTTTGATGGCTGAGGAGACATTGCAAGCAATAATTAGATCATCAACATAAATAAGAACAACAAGTTGAACCCCTTCTTGATGCAAAGTGAACAGAGAATGATCAAGACATGATTGCTGAAATCCATAAGATATAAGTGCATGAGACAATTTAGTGAACCAGCAACGCGGAGCTTGCTTTAAGCCGTATAACGATTTTCGAAGTTTGCACACCATGTTTGGTGTTGAGACAGAAAAACCAGGAGGCATGCGAATGAACACTTCGTCATGGAGATCACCGTGTAGAAACGCATTGTGTACGTCCATTTGATGAAGTTCCCAGGATTTGGCAGCTGCCACAGCAAGAACAGTTCGCACTGTTACCATCTTTACAACGGGAGCAAACGTTTCAGTGTAGTTGATGTCTTTTTCTTGATGATTTCCGAGCACAACTAAACGGGCTTTAAATCGCTCGATGGTGCCATCAGAGTTGTACTTAATGCGATACACCCACTTGCATCCGAGAGCTTTCTTCCCTGAAGGCAATGGTTGCATGCTCCATGTATTGTTACGTTCCAGTGCATCTATCTCAGCTTGCATGGCTTGTCTCCATCTTGCATCTTTCACTGCCTCATGAAAGTATAAGGGCTCTTTTTCAACGGTGATTGCTGCAAGGAAGTGTCTGTGTGGCAAAGAAAATTTGGCACAATTTACATAGTGAGCAATAGGATAAGGAGTACCTGAAGGATGTGATGGAGTTGATGAGCTAGGGGAAGGACTCAACTTCTGCGCAGTGTGTGTTACATACCCTTGAAGTCTTGTTGATGGCTGTTTTACATGATACCCACGTCCAAGTAGCAAATTTTTATCAAGATTACTGGGCATTGTGGTATTTGTGGTGTCTGGAACGGAGTTTTCAAGAATACCACCAGTAATGTCCGAAGTCTCCATTACGGAGCCTGTGGCTTCTACAGTGCTTGTGTGTGTACCCCCCTTGTCGAGAGCAAGGTCTGTTGATGATTCCATGTCATCAAGAATAGTGTCTACCATATTATCAACAGGCAAGGAGTGAGAGGATTCTTTTTCATTTTCAGAACGTTGATATGGAAATTGGTTTTCAAAGAATTGCACATCTCGTGAGATAAAAAATTCATGAGTTTCAAGATCATAAACTCTCCAACCCTTTTGCCCATAAGGGTATCCCATAAAGGCACATCTACGACTTCGACTTGCAAATTTGTCACCATTGGTGTGTTGGTTGCGAGCAAAACACAACGAACCAAACACACGTAGGTGATTGTAGGAGGGTTTTTGTCCATGTAACACTTCATATGGTGTTTTGCCTTTTAGAACTGTGCTTGGAGTGCGATTGATCAAATATCCTGCTGTCAATACACACTCTCCCCAAAAATCAATAGGCAAATTACCTTGAAATCGCAAAGCTCGGGCAATAT